AAACAAAGTTGTTGTTTATGGTATATTTTAAAACTAATCGAATGACAATGAATTTTTTGAATAAACGTATAAAATGAGATGAAAGATAGATTTTAAAACAAAGTGAGCTCTGGTTGTATTATACACTCTGGCTTGGACCTATAAACTTACTTTATATCAAATGAGTTGACATATCCACAGGGGTTAAGTGCATGCTAGACATGGCTTTGGTTGTATTATATACTTGGTGTATTGTATGTTGCTACTTGATGTATGATTGAAGATATAAGATTATAGGATAATTGATCCGCTGAATAATATATTTTTTGCTCCACAAACTGATTCGTTTCACTTTATTTCTAATGTTTCTGGTGCAATAGAATTGTATGTTATATTGATTTTTTATATAGATTCTCATTCCTTTTGTTTTCAATGTGATAAATATTGGTTGGGAATATCTTTGTTAGGGGTTATTTGTTAAAAGTGAAATTTTGATCGTTTCCAAGAATTTTACATTGTGTGGTTTCAGAAGTTGTTGACTTCTCTATAGGTAATTAGTTGTTCTTTTGCTATAGTTGCATGAATAATTTTAGTATTTTTGTTTAGCATAATTAGTGTAGCGCCTCAAAAAATATTATTCGATTCAATGAAGTCGTCACCGAGATTTATTTATTCCAAGAGGAAAGGGGAAAATATCGAATAAAACCCACAAGAGAAAATAAATAGTCGTCGAGACCAAAGAGAGGGTTCAGGAGTCGGTTATATAATGGGAAGGTATTAACACCCCTCACATTCATCGTATTCGATGGTACTCATTTAGTTACTTTGTGTTCATGTGTTAGTGTGAAAACTTACGATCTTCTAATTATTAAGAGATAAAGGAGAAAAGAAAGGGAGGAGAAATGTTTTTGGATTTTTTATTATGGTGCTCACCAAAGACATCAGATCTTGTGCCTAAGTATTACCTCGTGCAATGAGAAAGTTAGAGCGTCATAGTGCGGGAAACAAATGTTGGTTTGTTGGTTCTTTTTAGTGAGAGATACTAGATCACATTCGAACAGAAACATTGCTACCCGAAACATGGATAATGGAACGATTGCATCACTTCAAGAAAGGATGACTGAGTCTGGATTATGCACGGACTCTTGCCATCATCGCATTCGAGTGGAAAAGGCTCAACATTCACATGTGTAAGGAACGTTGCTTCATCGTAGCGAAAGGGATGGAAAATCACTCTTATTGAAAATGTTTTAAATTGAAAAGGCCAAGCGGTAAAACGTTTTAATGTGGGTGACAAGTACCGAACAATAGGACTAACATGCTACGATTCAAATACTAGAAACTAGAGGAGCACTGAAGCTCAACGAGTCATCTCTCATCCCAGAAAATTTTCTTATGAAAAGGTGAAGTGAAACAAGGTTCACGCTTATTAGGTTTTTTATGCGAGACTTTAGACAATAGGTCTAACAATCAACAGTCTAAGTACTTGCAATTTATTATGAAAAGGTTTTTGGAAATCAACTCAATGTTAGATCGAGGTTTGAAAATTTATTATGTAAGTGTTTTGAATGCTTAGTGAATGGATCAAGAGAAGGAATGAATTGAATCATGATTAACCAAGCCACGTGACTTGATTAACCTCGAGAGAATAGCCAAGCCTACTCTCTACTATGAAACCCTAATTGAATGAGAACTTGGTATGTGGACCAAGGAGCGAGAGATGGATGAGAAGTGAAGTAATTGCGAACATTCATGAAAGTATATCAAATAAAACGATAAAATCTCATACAAGTTGGTTAAGTATAAATTGTAAAACACATGTCCTAGTTTCTAAGTGTAAGCTAGAAAAATGGACTAGTCTCTAAACGACTAATTAGAACAATTGATCAAATAAGAGTATACTATAAGAAGGCCCAGGAACCAGCGTGGAAGTGTGCTTATGTGGTTATTGCGACGCTTACAAGCTTTGTCGACTTACGGATTTAAAATGATTCACAATCCATTATTAGTTTAAAAGTTATTTTTTGGATGTGCACATTCAAAGGATAATGAATGATTAAGTAAATGCAAGCTAAATAATTATTACAAAGTTTATGGGAGAGGGATACATTGTACAAGAATGAGGATTAATGAATAAAAGAGAAAGCGGTAAATTAATTACAACACAACTGTTATTTCTCTGAAATTATGATTGACATTAATTTTGGTAAAACTAACTTTGCGGCAACATGTTGAACAAGATGTTTCAACTTGTTGTTTGAACATGTCGAATGAGATGTCCTAACTAGAGGTATAGGACATCAGGTCTGCTACAACTGATAGTTTGAATTCAGTTGTTGTGATTTAATTATTGAATGTTCTGAGAATATTTAGTAATCCTATGTGGCGTCCAAGATTGATAAATCAGACATTTTATGTTGGTATTCAAGATATTAAAAGTTTCCAAATATGGAGACATTTTAGGGAAGTTTATATTGAAGATATATTTCCTTGGAGAAGTTTTAGCAGACTTTGTGCAGTCTCCTTGCTTCATTTTTTAGGCCCAAATCCAGTTGGGTAAAGGGTTATAAATAGAAGCATTTGTAACCTAAAAGAGTACCAGCAGAGAATTATAAAGATGTAATCATTAGAGTTAAGTTTGTGTGTCACTCTCTAGGAGAGTTGGACTGTGTTATAGAGTTGTAATCTCTATTATTGTTCTCCTCGAAGCTTTTAAGCAAGAGGTAATATTGTTATTAGAGAAAGTTGTTAAGCATCTCTAAGTATTGTTCTTGATCAAAATTGTGAAGCAAGATCAAATATGTTGTTCTAAATCAACGGGTGTCTTGATTAAGGTGTTTCTCTTATATTTGAAGTGTGATCTTCATTTAGATGAAAGGTTGTCAATACAGTAACTGGGACTGAGACTGTTAGACATCACTGCGGTGATTGGAGGTGAGATGAGATTTCTCATATCTAGGGAGGACCTAGGTAAAAGTTGCACAGGGTAGTGATTAAGTCAAAAGTTGTAAATGAGAGAGTTTAACTTTGAATTGATAATGTCTAACGGATTTCCTTTCTGGCTTGGTAGCCTCCAGAGTAGGTGTTGGTTTGTACCGAACTGGGATAACAATTACGTGTGTTGTTTATGCTTTTCAGTATTGTTTATGCATGATTATACCTTGCCAGTTTGTTTATGTCGGATCAGATGTCTTAACATGTCATAGGACATCTGAGTTCTGTCATACCATAATTTCAACAACGGGGAAATGGGATACACTTTAATCGAATGAGGATTGAAATGAAATAAAGAAAGAAAAGAATCTATTAGTTAAACATCGATTTAACTAATTGATCAAGTTAATAAAAATATATTAGTAAACTAATATATTTTAATTAACAAACATCATTTAATTAAAAAAATGTGTAAATAATAGATTAAAATGAAAATAGAAAAAGAGATGAAATGGAATCGGATGAAACTTGTCACTTACGAACAACAACCAACAAACAAGTTAGTAATCACAACTAGGGGTGTTCAAATCCAAACCAATCCAAATAAAAAACCGAAAACCGATCCAAAAAACCAAAAACCATAAAAAACCGAAAGTTATTGGTTGTGTTTGGATGTTATTTTATGAAAACCGATCGGTTCGGATTGGATTTCAGATGAATTTTTCAAAACCGATCCAAACCAAACCGAACCGCATAAATATATTTTGATACTTATTTACTTTTTATTAGTGTGACATGTTATGTGAATTTATTATTAGATAATAATATTTTTTTAATAATATTTATTAGTTTGGTATAATCTATTTATTTTTATTATTTCAAGCATAATCAATCACTCTCATTTTGTAATATTAACTTTTAATATACTATATGTTATATATTATATCAAATCTATGATTTATTAGTAGTTTTATAATATTAATAAAAATATAATGTGTAATTTGGATATCCAAAAACCAATCCAAATTAAACCGCATAAAATTGGATCGGATCGGATTGAATTTTTTTAAATATATCATCCAAAACCGAACCGAACCTTAAGTGAATTAATCTTTGGATCGAATGAGTTTTTGCTTTAAAACCGATCCAAACCGAACCGCGAACACCCATAATCACAAATGAATAGAAAATATAATTAAAATGAAACTTGTATAATGTATCATAAATGAACATCAAATTGTCAGACGGTTATAATGATTATCGATTCGCAAATGAAAATGGGAACCAAGAATTCAACCTCTTATCCAATTTAAGTTCACAATATGGAAAATCGAGCACAAATCAAACTAAAATCAATCGAACCAAAACCCGGGCAGCCACTACGCAAACATAATAATGTTCAAAAACTCAATCTCAAAAGTATTCGAAACAAATCAAATACACAACAACGCTTACAACCAAATTTTCCTCCGAATTCCAATCAAATGTCATCATAATCTCTTTGAAATGCTAAAAAAAAAATGAAATTGCGCTAAAAAAATCAACTCGAAAAACATTCCATAAAACCGGAAAACACTAGTATCACAATTGAATTTTTTCATTCGAATTCAACTCAAATATCAACACAATCTCTTCTTAATTGATTCAAATCAACATACCACAACTTTAAATCTCACTCGAAATTCAAACCAACAATATCAAAATGTAACCATTAATTCCAATTGGTTCAAAACGTAGCAATGATTTCTAATGAATTCAAAACGAAGTAATAATTAATCATGACATCAAAAATCTTTTAGAAGAAATATCATAGCTATTTTCCAAACATCACAGCTTTTTTCATATAGCTAAAACAGTGGTTTTCGCAACATTCAAAGCATCACAGTGAAAATATAACAAACTTACCGAACAGTGGCGATGGATAAAGGATGGTGGCTGCGACGTTGACGCTGATGTGCATACTCTGCGACAATATCGCATAAGCGGTGTTGGGAACGTGATTGCGTCTGAGTTGAAATTGTTGATGATACTGTCGAAATGTTGCGGTTGTTGTTGAGTTGGATGAAGGAACTTACGAACTGAAACGACTAGCTGAGCTCTGTGATGATGAAGCTCGCGGTAGAAACAGGGGTTAAGACCGGCGATGGTGTGAGGTGGAAGAGAGACGGACTGTGAGTTGGTGAAGGAAGCTCGTGAAAGACGAAGAAGAGATCGCACAGCGAGAGTATACGCGTTTTTCGATCTTGGATCTCTTTCTCCGTTTTTTCAATCTTTAGTGCAGCTTTTCTTCCTTCTTTCATCGATCCTCTTTCTTAGCTTATAACCTATCCACAAAACATTATCCAAAAGCTAGGTTATGTCCAATGAACACAATACCCCTTGCTTGAAGATATTTTATGAGATATTTACAATAAAATTAAATACTAATTAATAAACTAAATTAATTTATTTATTTAAAACAAAGATATATTTTTTCTAAAGATTTAAAATTCAAACAAAATCTACTTTAAATAAAAAATAAAAACATATATAAATTTTGATATTTTCTTAATTATAAAATAAAGAACAAAAATAAAAATATAAGAAAAAAATCAGATAAAAATTGAAATTGAGACCAAAACGATGCAAATGCATGCGAGATGTATTGATGTGACTGAAAATCAATTTGATATACGAATGTGAATGAGAAAAGCTCGGGGTAAAATTTGGGGTGCGACAGTTGTCCCTATTTAAATATCTTCAACTAGATGATATGAAGATGCTCATGCTTCATATAATCGTAGTGGGAGATAGTTAAGTATCAAAGAATCTGAAATTTTACCCTGAGATGTAATGGGTATAAGGTGAATGAAGTGTGGCGAGAATGCATTGAATGCGTGACTTTTTTTATATATATATTTTTTGAGTGATGTATGAAATGAGGCACAGACTTTGTTTTGATATATTCTCTGAATGATATGATATGCAAGACTGACTATGTGGGAATGTGGAAAGACTCAAAACTGAAATTTTATGGTAGTTTAGATGAAACGACGCGGAAAGACACGCTGGGGAACACAAGACATTTCTGGATATCTATTAAGGCGACAAGAAATATCCACCAATACTTGAAAAGAGAATGATTAACCACATGAAAGATAAATGTGACATCCAATTACCTGCTTTGGATGAAAGAAAGAGGATACACGACATCTAATAACCTGCTTTGTATGAAGGGAGAAATAAATACGACATCCAATTACCTATTTTGAATGAAGGATGACCACAACATCTAATAATCTACTTTAGATGAAGGGGGAAATAACCAATACATTCAATAACCTGCTTTGGATGAAGGGAGAAAGAAATACAACATCTAATTACCTACTTTGGATGAAGGAAGACCACAACATCTAATAGTCTGCTTTAGACGAAGAGAAAAGGAACCACAACATCTAATAACCTGCTTTGGATGAAGGGAGAAATAAATATGACATCTAATTACCTGCTATGGATGAAGAAAGACCACAACATCTAATAACCTGCTTTAGATGAAGGGAAAAAGAACCACGACATCCAATAACCTTCTTTGGATGAAGGGAGAAAGAAATACGACATCTAATTACCTGCTTTGGATGAAGGAAGACCACAACATCTAATAACCTACTTTAGATGAAGGGAAAAGAAATATGACATCCAATAACCTGCTTTAGATTAAGGAATACCATAACATCTAATAACCTGATTTAGATGAAGGGAAAAGGAACCAGACATCCAATAACCTGCTTTGGATGAAGGGAAAAAGAAATACGTTATTTAATTACCTGCTTTAGGTGAAGGAAGACCACAACATCTAATAACCTACTTTAGATGAAGGGAAAAGGAACCACAACATCTAATAACCTTCTTTGAATTAAGAGAAAAAGAAATACGATATCTAATTACCTGCTTTGGATGGAAGAAAGGTCACGATATCCAAGAATGATATTAAATAAAGTGAGATACGAGCTTTGGGAATGCCACTAAAATAAAAGACATATATTTGTTTTGGTAGGTGCCAAGTAAGTCGGGTTTTGACCGCAAGGTAAGATGTTAATAACAATAAGACCTCGGAGAATGCAAATGAGCATGAGAAACTATTGATATGAATGATATATGAATGATCTATGCATGTGACACATACATTTATGACAATGGAACTTGACTCTTTTGTGGAGGTAATATTGGAACTCTGATTCCTCAACACACGGAACACTGCCAGCTCTGCTTGGAAAGAAGATGTTTTGAGAAATACTTCTATCACACTTGTAAATTGTATCAAGTTGATGATACTTTAAGGAAAGACATGAAGAGCTGTTTGAGGATTTCCCCAGATTAACTGATTGTTAAGGATAAACCGATCATGGCTTCAGTCGACTATTGCTAGGAAAAAACTGATCATGGCTTCAGTTCTTGAAATGACTCTTTGGAAGGCTTTCCCAAATATGAGTCTTGAAAATGATCTCCTAGTTAACCAATTCTAAGAATAACTGGCACTGAGTAACAAATCTTGAACTGATTCACAATAGGATATGAAAGTAATGTCCCTGATAGGATCACTGACCAAGTTTCTCAACTGTTTGAACTTCCTTGATGAGGAATGCTTGCTTGCAAGTAAAATTATTCATCCAAAAATGGTAATTTTAATGCAATGCTCGTGCAAAAGGTTTGGAATCAAAAATCATTTTCAGAATGATGTTATTGATGTATAGAAAATGAATCATTTGTCAAAACACAACAGTTTAGACATCTAAAGAGAAAGCAAATGTATGATACTAAGACAAATGATTTGCAAAAGATCTTAGGAGTCAGTTTATGCAACCTTGTTGTAGTATGCTTTCAAAAGGAACCTACCTTCAATTAGGTCTTTTGAAGGTTGTAACGTGGCCTGGTTCACGATTTTAGAAATAAAGGATAGAGGCTCAAAGTTTATTTGTACCCAACCCAATCTTCATGATGATCTTCAGTCATACATTCAGTTAACTCAGCCTATGAATTCAGGTTCCAAAAGAATTTGGAACTAAAACAGTGGTGATGATGACTCAGAAGCAAAAGGAATCTTTGAGATGGAAGTAACTTTTATCTCTTTGATAGTCACAACAAATTGTTTTTGTTAAGGATTTTGGTGACTTTTCTTTTGATTGATTTTCTTATCCCTAACTTTTGCCTCAATTGTTTACTTTGTTCTTACAATCAGCAGGATGCCCCAATTTTTGCCTAAGTCACCTTTCTGGTTTTGACTTAGCGGGCTTTTTCTTCAGATTCTTTTCTTTTTGGAAAGATACTGACTTCCTGGCTTAATGATTACGGAGAACCATCATTGTCACTTTTGATTTGAAGGACATCTTCGACACTCCTTTGACGAGTGCAAATGAAAGCTTGATTGCAACCTATTGTACCCCAAAATTTTCTCTCCCATTTTCATTCAAGACATGCCTCTAGTGGTCCTCAATTGCTCAAGGATGACCAAGAATTGACCAGACAAGTTCTCCTTCTAAGGAAACAAACCTCAACTAGGGTTTCAATTTTAAGCAAGATGTGTGAGTCCCAAGGATCCCAAATTTTCTCCATTGTCCTAATATGTCCTCAAGATCATTCATGCCAAACTTCATGCCTTGAACAACAAGTTTGCTCAGTCAGCTGCTCAAATGCCTAGAAATCAACTGTACTAGGTCAAAAGTCAACTATGACCCAAATACAGTCAAACTTTAAGATTTTTGGTCAACATCAACATTTTGAAGTAATATCCATAATTTGATCAAGGGTTGATCATGATTCCTCAAGAACTGCTCCTAACTCATCAAAATTCAAAAATGGCAAATTAGGGTTTCTATAAGAAAAGTAAACCAAACTTTGACCAGGCATAACTTTCTCATACTATATTAGAAATTTTTTTCACAAAGGCACATTTTGAAGAGAATCCAATTCCCTAAAACTTCTCTTCAGCCCTTAAGTTCAAGAAATGGCTCAATCAAAAGATACAAGCTCAAACATTATAAGTCCTTTCAAAAAGTCAACAAAAACACCTTTTGGGTTAAAGCTCCTTACATGAACATGGAAGATCTAATTGAGATGAAACCAAAAGGGTTGTTTATAGGACATCCTAATCTCTCTAAAAAGTCCAAGAACACCCTCTTAGGGTTAAAATTGAGAGAGATATGCATTTTCAAAGTTGACCAATTTTTGGAAATGTGCATGAAGTCAATATTGACCAAAGTTAAATTTTCTCCAAATAGGCCTACCTTTTTATGTTTGAAACTTGTTTCTAACATATTCCACGACCTCCAAGCCCATCCATGCTTTATTTGCTCATTTATTTTATTTATTGAGATTTTTTAATTATTAAAAATTCAATTTAAATCAAATAAATGATAAAAAAAATATATGAACATTGCATGAGCTTGATTTCCAAATCTCTTAAGGCCTAAAATAACTCAGGATAGCAGGAAAAAACGTGTGAGAATCATTTGTACAATATTTAGCCAAATTTGGAAAGATTTCATATGATTCCCAAAACAAATATTGTATGATGAAAGCATTGGATTGTTTCCATAATTGCAACCCTAAGTTGATTTACTATATGTACACAAGAACCCTAGGTCAAAAGATACGTGAAAGTTGCCTCCACAAGTCCAGAAAAAACTCCAAATTTTCAAGAAAAAGTGTGAATCAGATTTTGAGCTAGAGAAGGAGTCAAGACATTCTGAAGCTTGCAATCAACTCCTGGAGGCCTTCTGAAGCTAGCTGCATCACTCCCAAGTGCCAAAGCTCCCAGAACCGTTCCCAACATAGTCACAGTTTGCCTTTATTTTTTTGAAAATGATTATGGTCTTAAGCGCATTATAAATGGATTTAGATCATGCATTCTTGTTTGTATGGATGATTAGAACATGTTTGAATCGTTAATTTCTTATTTTGATGCATGTATGACAATATGCCATTGTTAGGGTTTTAACCTACTATTGTACCCCAAAATTTCCCTCTCATTTATCAATAAGTTGCTCACAAAATCTTCTTTGGGCTCAAGATTGCATTAGGGTTTGTTCAGCTCAAGACACCTCCTTAAGCACTAATGACCAAAATTAGGGTTTGAGATTGCACAAGGATATTTGAACTTTCAATGCTTCATATGACTTTCATGGATCATTATGGACCCTCAAGATCACTCATGACAAGTTTTAAGCTTTGGATCTGTTGGCTGAAGATTTTGATAATATTATTAAAAGCCAAGTAAGTTGAACGTTTCGATCGAAATGAGACAAAGCGTCATGTTTCGAAGTAG